TCAAAGGGTTCGAGGCCCGCATGAATCACGCCTCGAAGCGCTTCGTTCAATCCCGCTTTGTTCCGTTCAGGCCAACGAGGGTCTGTGTAGTGGTCGAGCCCCGTGGTGGTGCTCTGAGACCCCAGGACCCACGGTGGTGGTGCTCTGAGACCCAGGACCCACAGTGGTGGTGCTCTGAGACCCCAGGACCCACGGTGGTGGTGCTCTGAGACCCAGGACCCACGGTGGTGGTGCTCTGAGACCCAGGACCGACGGTGGTGGTGCTCTGAGACCCCAGGACCCACGGTGGTGGTGCTCTGAGACCCAGGACCCACGGTGGTGGTGCTCTGAGACCCAGGACCCACGGTGGTGGTGCTCTGAGACCCCAGGACCCACGATGGTGGTGCTCTGAGACCCAGGACCCACGGTGGTGGTGCTCTGAGACCCCAGGACCCACGGTGGCGGTGCTCTGAGACCCCAGGACCCACGGTGGCGGTGCTCTGAGACCCCAGGACCCACGGTGGTGGTGCTCTGAGACCCACACCAGTGTGCCTCACACTTACACTGTGCTCACCGAGGTCTTCACTAACCCATATTTACAGTGTTGTTGCCCGCCCACTCCCGCCCACGCCCGCCCACCCCGACACTGTGTAACGGTCCGCCTCAAAGGTGTTGACGCAACTGAGTGTGAATCACGTTATAAATTCGTATAAAATACAATCATTCAGTAACAGGAGTAAATACAGATTCAGGTACAGTTAGTGATATGTATAGCTGCAGAAAAAGGTATAGATGGAAAAAACCTAAACTGGAAAAACAGAACATTATATATAACTGAATGGGGAAGGGAACTATCAAGGGAAAGCGCCAAGCCATTACGACTACATGGCACTTAGAAGAAATCAGGATAAGAATTTGGGATGGGACAGGGGGAGGGAATGGCTCCCAACCACTTTGGGATTGAACGCCAACCTGCATGAAGCGAGACCGTCGCTCTATCCTCCATCCCAAGTGGTTGGGCGTGTGGACTCAAATGTGTTATTGAGCACTTCGGTGCATTTAGGGGATACTTCAGACACTTGTATATTGCCACAACTTTGGAACACATCTGGGAACTAAACCTGACACTTGTTACGTGCCTTTAAAAACTTGACCAAAACTCAGAATTGCCCTGAAACACTTCCAGCTCTCTTGTAACACTTGACGCTGCTCTGTTAAGCCATTTTGAGTTCTGAGTAACTCTCAAGCGCTTCTGTGAAATACATAATGATTTGAGACATGTTTTACGCTTCGACTAATTTTCTCAGAAGCTTTCATATGCTCTGGATACTTCTTGAGAGACTTGTTATACAGTCTGTCTTCAGACGCGCCTCTACACTTTGCGTTGCTCTGAAATATCTTATACACATTCCGTGTCACACACTACACTACACCTCTAGTTGCAATTCTTTTACCATGTCGTAGCTCAGTCGATTAAGGCAGCTTCTGGGATGCTCTCAGACGTAGGTTCGAATCCTCGTCACGGCCCTTGTGAATTTGTTCATTCAGTGTCGTCTACGGTCTTCTTCAGGAGACCCGCTGCCTACTGAGGAAACACTGCCAGGAGTCGAACTCTCCTCCCTGTAGCAGCCTCCCAGGTGCCTTGTGACAGCCTACAAGTTCGATTGCCAAATCAGTTGACCTGGGCTCTAGGAGACTCGAACTGTGGACCCCACGAGTGGGCGCCCCAAGCTCTAGCGACCGAGCTATTGAGCAGTCTTACTCCTGAGGCTCACAGCTTCACTACTGTGAGCATCAGGAGTAACTTGAGTCATCAAGTCCAAGTAATATTGGCCTTGGCTTCAAGGCAACCACAGCCTTGATCAACTGTAATCTCTGAGACCAGAGTTCTGAATCTTAGCCAAGACATGTTTAAGATAACAAAGCATCTTCCATCTTGGGAGTGTTTTGGAGGCGTTCACTGCGGGCGAGGCAGTCGACGTCTGCGTGGTGGGACGCCTGGCTGCCTCGCCTGGCTGCCTCACCTGGCTGCCTCGCCTGGCTGCCTCACCTGACTGCCTTACCGCATCTGATCATCTCATTATGCCTGGGAACTTAAATTACTCTCGGGTTTGTCATTTCCCCGGACGCATCACCTGGTGTTCAGGCGCGTCATGCACCTGCCTCATCCTCCTGTCAGTAGAGGTAGATGTAGATGTAGAGAGGCGCCACCACCTGGACGATCTACCAGTCCACTAACACAACGCCTCCAGATATACTCCACTCGGAGTTGCGCATTCTGCTCCTCGGGGAAGTTTGGACTTCTTACACCACCAAGAGGTTGACGGCCGGAGACACATCAGTACTCTTCTTGGCTTGTTTTGCCTCAGTTAATTTCCATTAAAATTTCTTCACCAAGACTCATCATGCGGTGTGCAAGCATTCTGGGGTTTTAGCGGGGAGTTTTCGCGATGATTCAAGCGAGGGTGAAGAACGGAACACTTTGTTTTATTTTATCAGCAGGGAATATGTTTGGGGGGGGGGGGGTGGCGCCCTGTTCTGCTATGGCGTGTTTCAGTGTGTTCTGGTGTGTGTGTGTGTGTGTGTGTGTGTGTGTGTGGGTGTGTGTGTGTGTGTGTGTGTGTGTGTGTGGGTGTGTGTGTGTGTGTGTATGTGTGTGTGTGTGTGTATGTGTGTGTGTATGTGTGTGTGTGTGTGTGTGTGTGTGTGTGTGTGTGTGTGTGTGTGTGTGTGTGTGTGTGTGTGTGTGTGTGTGTGTGTGTGTGTGTGTGTGTGTGTGTGTGTGTGTGTGTGTGTGTGTGTGTGTGTGTGTGTGTGTGGTGTGTGTGTGTGTGTTTGTATTCACTATTTGTACCTGCAGAATCAAGCTATTAGCTGTTAGACCCCCGCCTTTCTAGCCAATCTACTTATCTTCTATTATGCCTTCTGCATATATTTCTATCTAACACATGCATACATACATCCCCAGGAAGCAGCTGCTTAACTCCCAGGTACGCATTTACTGCTAGGTGAACAGGTGTACCAGGGGTGAAAGAAACACTGCCCATTTGTTTCTGCCTTGACCGGTAATCGAACTCGGGCCCTTAGGACTACGACCCCTAGAGCGCCGTCGAGGACCTGAATCTGTGTGTAATAAATGTTATCTCTTCATTGTTACTTAATCAGCTGACGTGGGACCATTGTTTATGTATTGCTTGAGAGCTAAACTTAAACAAGTGATGATAACGCCACGTTGCTTCTCGGAGCTCATGAGGGCTCCTCTGATGTCCTCATGAGGGCTGCCTCTGATGTCCTCATGAGGGCTGCCTCTGATGACCTCATGAGGGCTCCTCTGATGTCCTCATGAGGGCTGCCTCTGATGTCCTCATGAGGGCTGCCTCTGATGACCTCATGAGGGCTGCCTCTGATGTCCTCATGAGGGCTCCTCTGATGTCCTCATGAGGGCTCCTCTGATGTCCTCATGAGGGCTCCTCTGATGTCCTCATGAGGGCTCCTCTGATGTCCTCATGAGGGCTCCTCTGATGTCCTCATGAGGGCTCCTCTGATGTCCTCATGAGGGCTCCTCTGATGTCCTCATGAGGGCTCCTCTGATGTCCTCATGAGGGCTCCTCTGATGTCCTCATGAGGGCTGCCTCTGATGACCTCATGAGGGCTCCTCTGATGTCCTCATGAGGGCTGCCTCTGATGTCACTCTGAGCGGTGATGAACTCCGGACAATAGTGAGGGAAGAGCTTCTCACCATTTTCAACCTACCCTTGAAGGGGGGGGGGACCTGCTGCATGGGTGATAGCTTCTCCCCCGTATCAACCTACCCAGGCTTTGCGCCCAGGGGCCAGATTCACGAAGCAGTTACTCAAGCACTTACAAACGTGTACATCTTTCCTCAATCTTTGACGGCTTTGGATACATATATTAAACAGTTTACAAGCATGAAAACCTCCCGATCAACTGTTGTAATTGTTATAAACAGCCTCCTGGTGCTTCGGAGCTCATTAACTCTTTAATAATTGTAAACAAAGCCTGAGAAAAGATTGAGAAAAGATGTACAGGTTCGTAAGTGCTTGCGTAACTGCTTCGAGAATCTGGCTCCTAGAGAGGCCACTCCAGACCGACTCCTGAGACTGATGGATGCCTATTACTACTACTAGTACACTACTACTACTTGTACACTACTACTAGTACACTACTACTAGTACACTACTACTACTAGTACACTACTACTACTAGTACACTACTACTACTAGTGAGGTAAGAGTGACAACTCGCTGGAGGAAACTGTAAGTGTGAAGATGAGTGAAGCGTGCTCAAGCACACGACGGACCGCTCACCATCATCTCAAAGTAGGCCAAGTTTGACCGACTTCAGCGGCAGAGGATTTTTGTTTTTTTGTCTTGATAGTGTATAGTAATAGGGGTTATATGAGGCGATTAAATGTCACTCCTTTTATCTCTCCCACTTTTAGTGAATGAGTATCTCTACTCTTATATTCTACCTTCAGTGAATGAGTATCTCTACTCCTCTACCCCGCCTTCAGTTAAAGAGTACTATGATCCGATCCTCCACCTTCAGTGAATGAGTATCTATTCTACTATGCCCCCACGTTCAATGAATGAGTATCTATTCTACTATGCCCCCACGTTCAATGAATGAGTATCTATTCTACTATGCCCCCACGTTCAGTGAATGAGTATTGCTGCTCGTATCCCCCCAACCTTCAGTGCATTACCGCGTATAGGATTCCGAATGCGACTTCCGACATGAGAGTTGCCAGTTTCCTACGGCAGCTTTCGACCACAATTCCTCGCCAAGGAACTCATAATAGTGCTGTAAAGATGTTTCCTCTAGCAGTGATGCTGTCTTTTATAGACTGTAGTTGGTAAGAGACTACTGGTATACGTTGGAGGCGGAATTGTGTGTAACGCGTAGTTAGTGTTTTCAACACTTTCGACATATACTTGGCAACGATTTTCCCGTGTGACCGGCCGCTCGCCTGCCAGCCTCGCGACTCGAGCTCCCAGTACCGCTCTGGCAGCCGCTTCAGGTGGGCACGCGTCGACCCACTTCCCGCGGGACGTTAGAGCTGCTTCTTGAGGGGAGAAACTTACTCCGTACCGGCACCCGAACGCTGCCTGCCACTTATGGTTACTTTCACTAACCTCTACACACTGATTTTCGGAAATATCTGTCATACTACAAAGTGAAGGTTATTACCAAAACTTAAACACTAATCAAATTTAAGTTTTAATAATAGTGATCTTATGGTAAAGTGTTTGCTATAAATAACAAACACTTGTGACTCCTCAAAAAGATACTTGTAGTAGTGTGAGGAGAGGAGTCTTGTCCCCAGCGTGTACCTGTGCGCGGAGTGTGTGCGACGGAAGGTGGAACTTGCGATGGAGTTCGTTCCTTGACCAACACGACTTCCGGTGCAGTCACGGACCGGAAGTTGGGCAAAAAGTAGCAGCCCACAGCCAGCTATCGCGGGGAAATATCGTCTTCAAATTCTGTGTATTATACTGATTTGATTTTTATCCGAGAATACGCAGACAATTAACTGTTGAAAACTTATTAAACATGTGAATTTGAGGAAAGTGATTTAATATAAAAATTTGTTGGATCTTTAAAGTATTAACCCCAATATATCTTTGGATAATAAGCAGACAATTTTACTGTAAAAGCTGATATATATATAAATATATCTAACCACTGCATAAACTGTTAACAAATACCTGTGACTTTATCAATACTATAAAAAACGTATATAAATATATACAGAACTGGTAACATATAAGGCGAGTGAACATATTTACCAACAGGACCAGTGCCGTTGTGGACGGTAATGTTGATCACTAAGCTAACACAGTGAGCCATAGTGCTGCACCCTCAATATTCCCCAATATAAAACGAGTAATTAAAATCTATGCATTGCATAAACTAAGCGCGAAAAGATGCAATTAAACTACTGAAATTAAGGCCCGACTAAATTTGAGATTGAGATGTTATATACAAGAGTTTACAAGCAGGTCGACTTGCACCTGCTGCTTGTATGGTGAAGCAGACCACCTTGCTGGTGGGGGAGCAGAAGCAGTGAGGAGCAGCAGCAGTCATTAGCCTCACTAAACCCATTGCTTCCAAAAGTGACAGGTGCGAGTGTTGGGGCGTTACTCGTGAGAACAGACCCCCATTGTTCACGGCTACAGGCGATCCAACCCTTACATCGTTTGTCATTTTTGTGTTTCGACTGAATCAACAAGAGACATTTTCGCTGGCCACCAGCTCACTCTCGCTAGCCTCCAGCACATCCTCTGACCTCCAGCACAGTCTCGCTGGCCTGTAACCAGTCTCGCTGGCCTGTAACCACAGTCTCCCTGGCCTGTAAGCACATCCTCTGGCCACCAGAACACTTGATGGTCTTCAGCACACCCTTGCTGGCCTACAGCACATCCTCTGCGCACCCTCACTGGCCTCCAACACTCTTGTTGCCATTCAGCACATTTTCTGGTCTCCAATACATCGTCGCTGGCCTCCGCACATCCTCGCAGGCCTCCAGCACATTCTCTACCCTTCAGTACATCCTAGCTGGCCTCCAACACACCCTATCTCGCCTCCAGAACGTACTCTGGCCATCTCTGTCGCTGTGAAGTCTACATATAAAACCTGCAAAGGCGAGTCAGACCTTGGAAACAAAAGTTATTGGAGAGAGGGAATCATGAGGGCCAGTGTATCGTCTTCCGTCTTTATCTGCACTGCAGATATCCACTGATGAGAGCCAATATTTCTTTTCCAGTGGGCTTTAGTGAGGACCTCACCACACACGAAACGGCTCTTCCTACTCTTTACATGGACTAGTGAGAGCGTATTACTACCGCGCGAGTGTGTGTACACAATTTGGTTTGTGCATTAGTGTCCTGTACTTTGTGCAGTAAAGAACAGTAATGCCTGGATTTCGCCTCACCTGACGGAGAGCGAGAGCATGATGGTGTCTGCGTGGTGGAATGGTGGAACTGTGGTAGTGTTGCTGGTGGCGCTGAGGCTGGCTGCCACCTCCACCTGCCCCTCCGTCTGTACCTGCAGGTGGAAAAATGGCAAACAGGCAGTGGAGTGTAGGAAACAGGGGCTGGCCAGCGTGCCTGCCGGGGTTCATCCTGATACACAGGTCCTTGACCTATCCGGCAACAACCTACAGACTCTGCCTAGACATGCTTTCAAGCGGGCAGGTCTCATCAACCTGCAAAAGATTTATCTGAGAGACTGTAAAATTGGTCAGGTCGACGCAACAGCCTTCTACCAGCTCACTAATCTGGTCGAGTTAGACCTGAGCCAAAATCTACTAACAGAGGTGCCCTCGCTCGCTTTCTCCCACATTCAAGCCCTGAGAGATTTACAGCTGCGAGGGAACAGACTTCGCAAGATTCGCAGTGACAGCTTCGCCCACACCCCGTCCCTGGTGCGCCTTGGTCTTAGTTATTCGGGCATCAGAAGTGTGGCAGCCTCTGCTTTTCAGTCTTTATCCCTCATGGAAAAGCTTGAAATCCAGGGAAATCAATTGTCAGAGCTTCCAGTCGCCTCTGTGAAAAGCCTGGAACGTGTACATGGATTAGAAGTTCACGACAACCCTTGGTTATGTGACTGTCGCTCCCTCCCTCTCTGGCGCCTTTTGGAGGTGAGGCGCGTCCCACACCCCGTCTCCCCATCATGCAACTCCCCCAGCAGGATCAAGGGGCGTACCTTCCACTCTCTTACAGAGGAAGACTTTGCCTGCCCTCCCCAGATCCTGCCAGTTGGGCGTATGGTTGAGGGCGTGGCAGGAGAGGACGCAACGATCGCCTGTCCCGTGGGCGGTCAGCCTGCACCCCAGGTCATGTGGTACAAGGGCGAGGCACCCGTTGTGAACGGCTCTGTGATAGGGCTGGGGCCACAACGCCTATACGTCATCACTGAAGGCAACAGGAACATGGTGAGCCGGCTGGTGATCACAGGAGCACAGGAGACAGATTCTGGCACCTTGCGCTGTGTGGCCATCAATTCTGCGGGGTCGGCGACAGCTAACTTCACCCTGGCTGTCACCATGAGAGCAGCGACTCAAGCTAAGCTGGATTCGGGTCACATTGCTGGGATTTCTGTGGGTCTGGTGGTGCTGGCTCTGATCGTGCTGGTGGTGGGGTTCCTGCTGCTGGCGCGTGCACGCTCCCACTCCTCCCCCACCCCTGTAAAGGACACCTCCACCACACCATCCTCGGATGAAGCCTCCCCCAGTGAGCCCAATCCCGTGCAAAAGCCGCCCCGACTCACCGACCTGAACGGCTCTCCCGGTGCGTACGGGTCGTCCACGCTCGGCAATCCAGACGTGATCAGCGAGGCAGAACGAGCCGTGCGAGCCGTCAACGGTCACCTCCCCAACGGGTGTGTGCAGGGTGTGGGTGAGGGCGGCGACTACACTCGTGTCGAGGGCGACTCTCTCTACCCCAGCGGCCTGTGGCCTGAAGACGCCAATCCCCAGGATCCCCATGACAACACCGACACCCCCAGCGTCATCCACGAGCACTTCAACCCCGGCTACTTGGCTAACGACCCTGCCTACGATGGTTATGGTCCCGTTCACTCCACCCCTTACCGACCAGGATATGAATCTCAGGAAGACTTTGATCCACAGACCTATGGCTACCCGGCTGACTTTGGGCTTCCAATCCCAGAGGCAGGGCAGGGGCGAGAGCCTCTCGGTGTTCCTGGGGGTCAGGAGTGGAGCATGGCCGACCTCAGCGGGACACGGGATGGCACGGAGTCCAGAACCGACACGTACACTTCCAGACAAGACACGTACGCATCGCAACAGAATATATACAGTTCACAGCAGGACCTAAAAGACTCTAGGCAGGACCTGTATGGCGTGACCAAGGACAGGCCGCCGGTGTACGGGTACCGCCAGGAGGTGTACGAGTCCCGGGAGGACGTGGCGGAAGGTGCTGACAGTCCCCAGGGCGTGACAGGTAACCTGGGGGAGCGGCCGTGGGTCCCGGGATCACAGGCGCCGACTCTAGCCCGCGGGGGCGTAGCCGTCCTCCCGCCTCTTCCCAACGGCATCGCCAACAGGATTAAAGCCCGGGACTCTCCTGACGAAGGATATCAAGAAGGCACCGAGGTGTAGCGGGGTCGCAGGGCCCGCCGAGGCGGCGGTCCCTGCTTCCTTCCTCCCACGCCCACACGCCCATCACGCTTCTCGGTCCCATCTTCCTCCCGCCCATCGCCTCCTCACACAGCTACTTCTTGGTCCTCCCCTCAGAGCCCTCACAGTGACCTGACACCGTGACCTGATACGTGTACTGGAACAGTGATGTGTGATGTGTAGTTACGTGACGATAAGCTGCTGTGCCCGAGAAAAGTGTCGCGTACGTTACCTCTTTGAGTGTGAGCACAGCGGCTGAAGTAGCCTCGCTAAACCAGTCAGAATTCTCTTAGCAAATTATATTTCATACTGGCAACTCGAGTTCTTGAAAAAGCTTTTGTGAGGCGAGAAGGGAGGCGTGACTGACGCCGGTAGTGTTACTAGTCCCCAGGAGTCCTCGCAGCCACCACAGACTGGGTGTAAGCGAGCAGGAGCAGCGGGTGTGGGGGCGCCACCCTCCCACACCCGGCCAGCCTGTGGCGGTCATGTACAGAGCCGAGCCACCGTGTTTGTACTGTACACAAGGTATTATCAGTTGTTAATTTAAGGTGCCGTTTGGCAAGACACCAAAGACTGGGTAGGCAAGCAAGTTGTGCCGCTTGTGCTGGTCAGCTGCAGGCGTAACTTGTGAGAACTACTTGTAAAACTGCCGTGTTGAGGGCCTGGCGTGGCGGGGTCCTGCGCGGGTACACTGCGCACCACCATCCTCAACAGTTATGTATTGTGCGTGAAGTAACCTTGTACTTGATGTTCACTGTTTCTCGATGCTTCAAGATATCATAAATCAATAATGATTACTCAGCAGACTCATGACAGCAAACCACACCTCTGAGTAATGGATGTAACATAAATGTTGAATATTTCTTAAAATGAGCCATAGCACAACCTGTGAAATAATGTGTTTTTCATGTCAAATGAGTATTACATTTTTTTAAATTATCAGACCCACTAAACAAAAAATCCAGGACTATCGCCACCCCGGTGCAACGAGGTTATAATTGATTTCCTTATAGTTTTTTGGTAACTCGTTAATGGATGAGGCGGGAATAGAGAATGGAAAAGCTGAAATCGCATCATGCTGGAAATAAACTCCTGTGTAGGAGAATAGAACATTAAAAATCTGCTAACTAATGTATGTCAAATACATCCTTCTTGCACTGAGGTGACGAAATGTTCCCTTCCAAAGTCCTGGTGACTACACTAAGGCCTCTTGCCACCTGCAACAGACTGAAAGATCATGACTTTCAGCACTGTAGTAAGTGACTGTTAAGGGACTCGCTAGCGAGCATTATCAAATCCTGAATAGATGATTTTGTATGCAATTATATCCCAATTTTGGTATTCCTGCCAACCCAACCTTTGGGGATTCGGTTACCCAGGCCTCCTGTCATTAATATATCCTATTAACCCATATCTGTTATCCAGGATCCGGTTAATCTTTGAATAGCCTAACCAGCCATTGCACGGTTAACTAACACACTTTAATTCTGTTAATCGATTTTGGGTCTCCGATGCCTCGCTTACCACTTCCGATGCAATGGATCGATTAAAACGTTTTCCATTTTATATAAATGGTTAAATCTAACCAAACCCAGAGTTTGGTTAGATTTAATATAGTCCAACATGGGACTAACAAATCTTCAATTAATTCCATATCGGGACCCCTGTTAGACACCTTAAGTAGCCTAAGACTCAGTTCATTACATCTAATTCAAGGTTAAACAGCGTTCCGAGTAACCTAACCACTGACAAACGCTGTCTTAATCGCTTGGGAAATAAAGAGGCGCATTTTCCATTATGAAAAGAGCAGAGTCCTGGCTACTGCAGCACACTGGGAAACGCCCCTCCACACCACGTGCCAAATACCAGGTCTTGGGTAACCACGAGGTCGCTAGATATCTCATTCCTCAACCCGTCCTCCCAAGGTGCCCCAACGTCAAGAAACTGTCGTACTAAAGTGCCCTTATCCTAACCTACCAGAGGACCCAAAACAGGAAATGGGGCAGTATGTCAATGTGGCGAGCCGCTACCATTTTCTAGTACGACAATTTTTGGCCTTAGGTAGAATATACGTCAAAAGGCGACGTTCTATTAGGAGGACGGGTTGCATTCCTACCATCCCCCCCATGGAACTTCATCCCTAAATGTGACCTCACTATATCCAAAGTTACGTAGAGCTTTAATTACCCAACCACCGATAGCCCAGTTCACTTGTTTAGCTATGTTTGTTGAACGGAAAACAGGGCAGGACCCCGCGACATTGCTGTGTGTTTCTGAGACTGGCAACTCACGAGGATAGACTGCATCACCAGCAGGCATCAGCACTGTCTACTGAGCTAACTCGAGGCTCAGCGGCTCTTGGCAACACAACTAATTGCTAGTCTCACTTTATACTTAACAATAAATAACATTAATGTGAAGGAAAATGTTTCTTTAATTTATGCGTGTCAGTGTGAGCGCTTAGTCTAGGTCTATGCCCTTAAGGATATTATTTTAATATTATTCTTGTTCAGTAATATTATCAAGAGATGAGGTGCTCTCTATTATTATTATTATTATATTATTATTATATATATATATATATATATATATATATATATATATATATATATATATATATATATATATATATAGCCTAACAACTTATAGGTAAAGTTGCCTAACAAGCCGAATTTTCGTGAAATATTATTTTTTAATTTTTTTTTCTTACGGAATGATAATATTTTCAGTGTATTATTTATGAACGCAATTTTATGTTATTCGTGTCAAAGCTATCATAACAATTTGATCTAATCTAACCTGACCTAGCCTATGCAACCCTGTCCAACCTTATCATAACATAATTATATCAGTAATTCATGTTCCTAATAGAATAGACTATTATTGTTAGAAAAGAACCACTCTGGAAAGAAATATTTGAAAATAACAAAAATCATTGGGACCGTTAGGCACATCGGACCTTGCATAGTAAGCCAAGTATATATATATGTATATATGTATATATATATTATATACATATATATATATATATATATATATATATATATATATATATATATATATATATATATATATATATATATATATATATATATATATATATATGTCGTACCTAGTAGCCAGAACGCGCTTCTCAGCCTACTATGCAAGGCCCGATTTGCCTAATAAGCCAAGTTTTCCTGAATCAATATATTTTCTCTCATTTTTTTCTTATGAAATGATAAAACTACGCATTTCATTATGTACGAGGTCAATTTTTTTTATTGGGGTTAAAATTAACATAGATATATGACCAAACCTAACCAACCCTACCTAACCTAACCTAACCTATCTTTATAGGTTAGGTTAGGTTAGGTAGCTTAAAAAGTTAGGTTAGGTTAGGCAGGTTAGGTAGTCAAAATACAATTAATTCATGAAAACTTGGCTTATTAGGCAAATCGGGCCTTGCATAGTAGGCTGAGAAGTGCGTTCTGGCTACTAAGTACGACATATATATATATATATTATATATATTTTCACCTTCCCACTCCATCTCCCCAGCATTATCTTAAGCACCTTTCATCCTAACTAATATTTAATGCTAGATGAATCTCAGTTAAGATGTTATGTTTTTTATCTAACGAACTTAAAAATGAGCGTAATTTGTCATTTCCCACAAAGGGGGAGGGGGGGGGACATGGGGCTCGATCACGACCATCCTATGTATTGGCAGGACACCAGACCATGTACCCTGCAAAGTTTGTTGAGGGTAGTCGCAAGCGACTAAGGTCTACAAACAGGTATCTTCTCTTATTAGGTACAGATATCTTGACCTAATGTACCAAATATCAGAACCGCCCAGTAAGCATAACACCCAAAGCTATTTTTGTACATTTTCAAATATTTATCTCAAAATTAGTTTGCCCTTAATAATTACATATTATAGAGCCCCCCATTAGTTGCTTAGCTAGGTCTAGTTTTACCCATGTTTGCCAGTAATGAGGAATAATGGGAATATTAAGACTGTCAGATTGATAGCTTAATCTTGGTAAAATTAAGCATAAAAGTTTTATTCATTATGCTAAACATGTTTACCAATTTGCAAGTTGAAATTGAAAAATTATATATATTTTAAGAAAATGTGGCATTTTAGGCAACTGAATGTTAGGTATAACATTATATATATGTAATATATATGGTGAAAGGAAACGTTCCCAAACACCCCAGACACGTTACACACACATTATATATATATATATATATATATATATATATATATATATATATATATATATATATATATATATATATATATATATATATATATTAAGCTGGTATTTCTGAACATTATGCAAGTCAACAAGGTTAACAGTGGTGCGATCGCTCAATAGATGGTGCTGGCGTCGCCAAAAGTCGAGCTGTTGCCAAATTTACAGTATTGTGATATCTTGGCTTGTAGGTCAAGAAGTATAATAATTTTATAACAACCAATATGTTATTTAGGTGTGCAGTTCAAAACAGTTTTCCGAATATTTTATTATTGTTAAAGATCACAGAGCTTTAAATTTTAAATGAAACTAAATAATCATGTGAAATAATTATAATATGCTTTAATAGGATAATTTTATTCTTATGATAAGTGCAGTAAGGTTCCATTACATTAGTAAGTTTTGATTTCGTCCGTCTCGGTATTTTGAAGATGGCGACGAATGATAATGGAGAACGTGGAGCAGTGTGACAGGGAACCTCCGTGTCGCTGCCAGCTCCTCAGTAATGACAAGGAGGCGACGACACGGAAGCCGCCGCCTCCGTGGCGTGGCGGCACTGCCTCGTCTTTGGCGAATATCTGTTTCTCTTTAATATCTGAAGACCGGGGCGTGGCAACACTGCCTCAGCTGTGACCCCAAAAGGTCTTGTGAACTCTGTTCTGATTGCTCTTAATATGTCTGAATTACTTATTGGTTCCTGAAGGTGTCTGTTCATCATGCAATATATATATATATATATATATATATATATATATATATATATATATATATATATATATATATATATATATATATATATATATATATATTTATTATAAGCAATAATTTCTTTCAAATATATTTTTGGAAAACATAAATTGTGCCGTTGTTTCCATACTAAATTTTCTGTAAGAATTTCAAGTTATAAGGTAGATATTACAGTCAGTATATAATATATCAAATTACAATGTGACGCAATGACCGAGCCTGTTGGGCAGTTATTGCCAGTCCTCGTTGGGGAAGACTTTGAGTGCAGTGCTTACGGGAGAACACTTAAAGCTCTGTTTATTTGCAACCGTTACCATCGCTTCCAAATTCCGGATTCAAAGTGCCTCTTGAATATTCATGGTGATTAAGGAGGAGAGGGGGGGGGGGAGGGGGGCTTGGGGGGGGCAGGACCCCCCCCCCCTAAAAGCACAATTCTCCAACCGTCCCCGTTTATAATCCATATTATTTCCTTTATACTCTCTCTCTATATATTCACAAAGTTGATATGAAGTTCACGGATTCGAGGTGGCTGGTGGCTCTCAAAGTAGCCATTTTACCCCTAAATGGTCAATGACTGAACATTAATTTGCTCGCTCGATGGCCAATGGTGAATGGACGCTAGTGACTATTAACAACCTGAAATAGTTTAAATACAATCTTTGAATTGTTCGCAAGTTTGAACACTGAGCAGATGTCATGAGGCTCTTGCTCACAAGCTGTGTTTTGACTGGCCAGTAAAAAAAATATTTACTTTTATATATATATATATATATATATATATATATTATATATATATTATAACAGTGTATTACAGGAATTTATTAGCTACTCGTTTGCTGTCACCAAAGATTACTTCTGAGGCAGATGTATTTTTGTAATAAAATATGATTAATATAAAGCAATAACTTTTAATTATCATCAGAACAATAAAGCTGTGATTTTGTATCAGTGTTTTGGGCTTGAAACGAGAAAGCACTTTAATTAAGTGGGTAGCGAACGGTTGTGATATTAGCGACGTACAGACGTAGTGATGTTAGTAACGTACAGACGTAGTGATATTAGTAACGTACAGACGTAGTGATATTAGCGACGCACAGACGTAGTGATATTAGCGACGTACAGACGTAGTGATATTAGCGACGTACAGACGTAGTGATATTAGTAACGTACAGACGTGGTGATAATGTTAACGACGTACCCACTCTTTACTGCATCTTTCAGAGATTCCCTCGAATAAGGTGTGTGTGTGTGCGCGCGCAAATTTCCAAATCTCATTCAGTGGTACGTGTCTGCTGTGGACGTGCACTGGTACGTGTCTGCTGTGGACGTGCACTGGTACGTGTCTGCTGTGGACGTGCACTGGTACGTGTCTGCTGTGGACGTGCACTGGTACGTGTCTGCTGTGGACGTGCACTGGTACGTGTCTGCTGTGGACGTGCACTGGTACGTGTCTGCTGTCGACGTGTATTGCTTCACCACGAGCGTACAGACGTGAATGAGTGCGTCGACCCACCACACACGAGGGGTAATAAAGCCAATCATGGGGACGAAAGAGAGAGCTCCTTCGCTTCCCCTCATAATGACCGACTGAGCAAAAACATCGGAGTTTGTATGTTAATTCAACTAGCTACGTTGCGCGTCACTGCAGAGTCACTGTTCGTCACCTTCCGAACTGAATCCACCATCAACGAGCGACACTGGACACTGCGTCACCACTTTATAGGACACTGCGTCACCAGTTTATAGGACACTGCGTCACCAGTTTATAGGACACTGCGTCACCAGTTTATAGGACACTGCGTCACCAGTTTGACGTGCGTCCAGATAACAGTTCTTGCCAGTTAACGGAAGCACTGCTTGCTTGGTGACTAACGCTTGGCTCATCCCTTTTACTATTTAACTTCCTACTAGCAATTTAGGCCTGACCTGCCTACAGACCGGCAAGAAAATGAGACGATCAATAAGCAAAACAAAGTCATAACACAGGAAACTGGGGCCAGATTCACGAAGCAGTTACGCAAGTACTTACGAACGTGTACATCTTTCCTCAATCTCTGACGGCTTTGGTTACATTTATTAAACAGTTTACAAGCATGAAAACTTCCCAATCAACTGTTGTTATTGTTATAAACAGTCTCCTGGTGCTTCGGAGCTCATTACCTGTTCAATAATTGTAAACAAAGCCGCCAAAGATTGAGAAAAGATGTACAGGTTCGTAAGTACTTGCGCAACTGCTTCGTGAATCTGGCCCCTGGTCAATACCTGACTAATATAACCTGGCAAGCGAGTGTCAAGTGAGGCTCCACCTGGCCTCACATCATTAACAATCACATTCAACATTTTTCCTCAAATCTGATCAATAGCTTTAAACCTGACCTGACACAAGGTGAGTCGAACCTGACCAGGCGTCACCGTCACCACCACACCTGCCACCAACACCACTACCAGTATCACCACAACTACCAGCATCACCACAACAACCAGCACAGCCACACCTCCCAGCACCACCACCACCACCCACTGATCTTCAGCTCTCTCTCCTCGCTGCGCCGTACCCCGCAGCACAGCCGTACACAACGAGTCAAGCTTAATTAAGACTGAGTGCCGTCCATTACACAGACTGGAAACTACCCAGTCTGCTCATACCCTCGTGTCGACGCACTCAGGCTATCACAGCTGCGGATGGCTGGGTTAAGCCATGTTATGGCTACGAATAGAGGCAAAACTATCTTGTACTCACAATTCGTCTTTCATTTTGAAGCTCCTAAAGTTATTCATTTCCATATTTTGTTGTTGTTTAATCGTGGATGGAAAAAGAGCAAAGAGAAGGATGTCTCCGGGCGTAGATAGAGCCTCTCCGGGCGTAGATAGAGCCTCTCCGGGCGTAGATAGAGCCTCTCCGGGCGTAGATAGAGCCTCTCCGGGCGTAGATAGAGCCTCTCCGGGGCCTCTTTCAGCCCTTCTCGGGGGATCATTTTCAGATCTTGCGAGGCTCTTTATAACACGGCGGCCTCGCAAAACCTGCCTCTTTCTCTTAGGGTGCTGTGGGCGCTTGCGTCAGGTAGTGTAGGTGCTGCGTCAGGTAGTGTAGGTGCTGCGTCAGGTAGTGTAGGTGTTGCGTCAGGTAGTGTAGAGGCTGCGTCAGGTAGTGTAGGGGCTGCGTCAGGTAGTGTAGGGGCTGCGTCAGGTAGTGTAGGGGCTGCGTCAGGTAGTGTAGGGGCTGCGTCAGGTAGTGTAGGTGCTGCGTCAGGTAGTGTAGGTGCTGCGTCAGGTAGTGTAGGTGCTGCGTCAGGTAGTGTAGGGGCTGCGTCAGGTAGTGTAGGGGCTGCGTCAGGTAGTGTAGGTGTTGCGTCAGGTAGTGTAGGGGCTGCGTCAGGTAGTGTAGGGGCAGCGTCAGGTAGTGTAGGGGCTGCGTCAGGTAGTGTAGGTGTTGCGTCAGGTAGTGTAGAGGCTGCGTCAGGTAGTGTAGGGGCTGCGTCAGGTAGTGTAGGGGCTGCGTCAGGTAGTGTAGGGGCTGCATCAGGTAGTGTAGGTGTTGCGTCAGGTAGTGTAGAGGCTGCGTCAGGTAGTGTAGGTGTTGCGTCAGGTAGTGTAGAGGCTGCGTCAGGTAGTGTAGTGGCTGCGTCAGGTAGTGTAGGTGTTGCGTCAGGTAGTGTAGAGGCTGCGTCAGGTAGTGTAGGTGTTGCGTCAGGTAGTGTAGAGGCTGCGTCAGGTAGTGTAGGGGCTGCGTCAGGTAGTGTAGGTGCTGCGTCAGGTAGTGTAGGTGTTGCGTCAGGTAGTGTAGGGGCTGCGTCAGGTAGTGTAGGTGTTGCGTCAGGTAGTGTAGGTGTTGCGTCAGGTAGTGTAGAGGCTGCGTCAGGTAGTGTAGGTGCTGCGTCAGGTAGTGTAGGTGCTGCGTCAGGTAGTGTAGGTGCCACCTGCTCCCTCACCCCCTCCACCCTGTTCTTTATTAACCTACATATCTAAGTTTTTCATACATGCATTTTGGTGCATCTTGCCGTTCTGTCTGTTTACACGTTTTATTAACCTATTTATTTAACACAATCTCTCTGTCTTTCTCTTTTCTTTTCCTTTCTCAGTTCCTCCATCACTTCTCCCTCCCTCCCCATCTACCCTTCTGTGCCCCAGGCACCGTTGTCAGCCAGCTGGGGCTGGGCCAGGTGGCTCAGGTTCTATTACAACCCCCAATAAACCCAGACGTCCTCACCACCTGTGTTGGCTCAGACTGCCCCCCTGTGACATGGTCTTAAATTCTGACTGCTACTTTCAGACTTTTTCCAAACGTTTAGGTAACATGGCTCTTTCTTGCGCCTGGATTGAAGTGCGGCCCTATCGGTACTGTTATATTTCTTCTGAGCCACAAGGAGGAGCTGGTACTCTTTCCTACTTAAAGGCGGCCAATATGTGCTCGGTCCGTGTGCTTAAACAGTATTTATGAAAATGAGTATATGAGATACTTCAGCAGGCCTGAGTTTCCGTGTGTGTGTGTGTGTGTGTGTGTGTGTGTGTGTGTGTGTGTGTGTGTGTGTGTGTGTGTGTGTGTGTGTGTGTGTGTGTGTGTGTTCATTCACTCCTGACCTATTTCCCTATCAGCGGCTTATATTTTTTTTAGGGACGCGAGTCTTATTTTCCTCGGCGTCACCTCTTTCTCTTATTATAGTTTACCAACTTTTAAAATTGTGAATAGAGTTTGCTTCTACAACCTGCTGTTAGGCCATTCCATTTACCCACTACTCTCACGCTAAAAGAAAACTTTATCAAATCTATTTGATTCATCTCAGTCTCAAGCTTCTATCCATGCTCGCTTGTTTTATTGGTATTCATTGTGAACATTTCCTCTTTTTATACTCTGTCAATAACCCTAGGTATTTTATATGTCTCTATCGTGTCTTCTCCTCTCTCTCTTTTTCTAGCACTTTCAGGTTTAGTTCTTTCAGTCTCTCTTCACACCCCACCAAACCCAATTCTGTGACGAGCCCCTATGGCAAACTTCTGAACCATTTCTAGTTTCCTTATATGTTTTTTTTTAGATGGGGGCTCAACGATGGGGCGGCATACTCTAGATCTAGTCTCATGTAGGCAGTGGACAGCGATCTAAATACCTCCTTAATAAGGTTACTGAATGATGTTTTGACATATGCTAGAGTACAGTGTGCTCCTGACGTAACCCTCTCTGTGTGAGCCTCCGGAATTAGGTTTGGTGTTATGTCCTCTCTCAGGTCTTTATCTCTTGCCGTTATAGGGAGGTAGTTTCTCTTCAGTGTGCCCCGTCCTTTTGATCTCCAGTCAAGTGTTCCCATTTCCATCACCTTACTTTTGGTGGTATTGAACTCCAGTAGCCATTTCTCGAATTAACTCTGCAGCTTGATTAAGTTATCTTGGAGAATCTTACAGTCCTCATCTTCTCATTAATTTTGAATCTTATGCAAACATCAACATATACAAGACTTCAGTCCTATACATAGGTCATTTACTTAAATGAGAAATAGTGTAGGTCCCAAGACCGATCCTTGAGGTACTCTGTCACTCTACGCCAGTCCGACTTCTCCCCCTCATTATTGCTTTCTGACTTCTATCAGTTAGGTAATTTCTTACGTTAAGCACTGCTCCTGTAACTCCCGCCTCCCTCTCAAGTCTGTGTAGTATTTTATTGTGAGGTGCTGTATCAAGGGCAATCCAGAAATACGGAATCTGCTCAACCTACTCCCTCCTGCCTTATTTTCGTTAGCTTATCATGTAACTACAGAAGACTCGTTTGACATGATTTTCTTTCCCTAAAGCCATGTTGATGTTTGTTTACATACCTAATTACATACCCAATTATCTCTAAGAGTAACTAGACTTACCCTGATTATTCTTTCGAGTGATTTAAAGGGAATGTTTGTTAGTAATACTGGTCTGTAGTTAAGTGTCTCTTCTTCGCCTTACTTGAAAATTGGTCCCACTTTCGCTCTCTTCCCGCAATTGGGAAATTCTCCCTTTTGTAAGTGAGTCATTAAAGATCATTGCTGGAGACAGGGTGAGGGCTCGTGCAGCATGATGCAACATTCACGGTGATACTTTGTCTCGTTCAACAGCTTTAGTTTCCTCTAGTGATGTTAGTTGTGTACTCACCTAATTGTACTCACCTAGTTGTGCTTGAAGGGGTTGAGCTTTGGCTCTTTGGTCCAGCCTCTCGACTGTCAATCAACTGGTGTACAGATTCCTGAGCCTACTGGGCTCTATCATATCTACATTTGAAACTGTGTGTGTGTGTGTGTGTGTGTGTGTGTGTGTGTGTGTGTGTGTGTGTGTGCTCACTATTAATAAAACGACAAATGTCCTGTTAAAATGAAAATAAGAGATAGAGAGAGAGAGAGAGAGAGAGAGAGAGAGAGAGAGAGAGAGAGAGAGAGAGAGAGAGAGAGAGAGAGAGAGAGAGAGACAGAGACAGAGAGAGAGAGAGAGAGAGAGAGAGAGAGAGACAGAGAGAGAGAGAGAGAGAGAGAGAGAGAGAGAGAGAGAGAGAGAGAGAGAGAGAGAGAGAGAGAGAGAGAGAGAGAGAGAGAGAGAGAGAGAGAGAGAGAGAGAGAGAGAGAGAGAGAGAGAGAGAGAGAGAGAGACAGAGAGAGAGAGAGAGAGAGAGAGAGAGAGAGAGAGAGAGAGAGAGAGAGAGAGAGAGAGAGAGAGAGAGAGACAGACAGACTCATAAGAACGGACGGGAAACAAAAGGAGCTTGTTAGAAGGACAACGAACGAATGGTTTATATAAAAAGAAGAACAGGGATCAGTATGAAAAGAAAAGATCTGGTAAGAGTATAGAGAGCGGAGATAAAAAGTAAAGAGAGGGGTCTGGTAAGAGGGTAGAGAGGGGAGTGTGAAGAGGGTCATTGAAGAGTGGGTGAAAGAGCGCTGACAGTGTGGTGCGTGAGAGAGGGCTGACAGTGTGGTGGGTGAGAGAGGGCTGACAGTGCGGTGGGTGAGAGAGGGCTGACAGTGTGGTGGGTGAGAGAGGGCTGACAGTGTGGTGGGTGAGAGAGGGCTGACAGTGTGGTGGGTGAGAGAGGGCTGACAGTGTGGTGGGTGAGAGAGGGCTGACAGTGTGGTGGGTGAGAGAGGGCTGACAGTGTGGTGGGTGGGCTTAATATTTCACAAGGGCGCGGCGAGCAGCTTGAAGAAGATGACACACCCAGACAATCTCACTTCTCTATGGAACTCCTTTGTATCCCATTGTCTGCCGTCTGCCACGTGCTCTCTGGCGTCTGCCAAGTGCTCTCTGGCGTTTGCCAAGTGCTCTCTGGCGTCTGCCAAGTGCTCTCTGGCGTTTGCCAAGTGCTCTCTGGCGTCTGCCAAGTGCTCTCTGGTGTCTGCCAAGTGCTCTCTGGCGTCTGCCGCGTGCTCTCTGGAGTCTGCCACATGCTGTATGGCGTCTACCACGTGCTCTCTAGCGTCTGCCACGTGCTCTCTGGCGTCTACCACGTGCTCTCTGGCGTCTGCCAAGTGCTCTCTGGCGTCTGCCACGTGTTCTCTGACGTCTGCCACATGCTGTATGGCGTCTGCCACGTGCTCTCTGGCGTCTGCCAAGTGCTCTCTGGCGCCTGCCACGTGCTCTCTGGCGTCTGCCACGTGCTCTCTGGCGTCTGCCAAGTGCTCTCTGGCGTCTGCCACGTGCTCTCTGGCGTCTGCCACGTGCTCTCTGGCGTCTGCCACGTGCTCTCTGGCGTCTGCCACGTGCTCTCTGGCGTCTGCCACGTGCTCTCTGGCGTCTGCCACGTGCTCTCTGGCGTCTGCCACGTGCTCTCTGGCGTCTACCACGTGCTCTCTGGCGTCTGCCACGTGCTCTCTGGCGCCTGCCAAGTGCTCTCTGGCGCCTGCCACGTGCTCTCTGGCGTCTGCCACGTGCTCTCTGGCGTCTGCCACGTGCTCTCTGGCGTCTGCCACGCACCAGCTGCCGTCAGCCACAACAAGATTGCAGTAATTTTCGGTTTTCCACTACTCCGTTACTGGGGTTTGTCATTCGTGGTCTGCCACTTGCTTCGGCCGCCTGCCACCCTCCGCCTACCACCCTCCGCCTGCCACCCTCCGCCTGCCACCCTCCGCCTGCCACTCTCCGCCTGCCACTCTCCGCCTGTCACCCTCCGCCTGCCACCCTCCGCCTGCCACCCGCCGCCTGCCACCCGCCGCCTGCCACCCGCCGCCTGCCACCCGCCGCCTGCCACCCTCCGCCTGCCACCCTCCGCCTGCCACCCCAGACACGTTAAGGTGTACATATTCAGTTCGTGTCTGGTCCCAATTGCTCACCGCAAAATCTATAGAAGCTATCAAACTTTGTCAACCACAGGGAGGGTGGAGGGTCATCAAGGGTGTGGGTGGAGGGTGGAGGGTCATCAAGGGTGTGGGTGGAGGGTGGAGGGTCATCAAGGGTGTGGGTGGAGGGTGGAGGGTCATCAAGGGTGTGGGTGGAGGGTGGAGGGTCATCAAGGGTGTGGGTGGAGGGTGGAGGGTCATCAAGGGTGTGGGTGGAGGGTGGAGGGTCATCAAGGGTGTGGGTGGAGGGTGGAGGGTCATCAAGGGTGTGGGTGGAGGGTGGAGGGTCATCAAGGGTGTGGGTGGAGGGTGGAGGGTCATCAAGGGTGTGGGTGGAGGGTGGAGGGTCATCAAGGGTGTGGGTGGAGGGTGGAGGGTCATCAAGGGTGTGGGTGGAGGGTGGAGGGTCATCAAGGGTGTGGGTGGAGGGTGGAGGGTCATCAAGGGTGTGGGTGGAGGGTGGAGGGTCATCAAGGGTGTGGGTGGAGGGTGGAGGGTCATGTGGGTGGAGGGTGGAGGGAGGGTCATCAAGGGTGTGGGTGGAGGGTGGAGGGTCATCAAGGGTGTGGGTGGAGTTTCATCAAGGGTGTGGGTGGAGTTTCATCAAGGGTGTGGGTGGAGGGTGGAGGGTCATCAAGGGTGTGGGTGGAGGGTGGAGGGTCATCAAGGGTGTAGGTGGAGGGTCATCAAGGGTGTGGGTGGAGGGTGGAGGGTCATCAAGGGTGTGGGTGGAGGGTGGAGGGTCATCAGGGGTGTGGGTGGAGGGTGGAGGGTCATCAGGGGTGTGGGTGGAGGGGTGGGTGGAGGGTCATCAAGGGTGTGGGTGGGTGTGGGTGGAGGGTCATCAAGGGTGTGGGTGGAGGGTGTGGGTGGTGGGTGGAGGGTGTGGGTGGAGGGTGGAGGGTCATCAAGGGTGTGGTGGAGGGTGGAGGGTCAGGGGGGGGGTGACGATGGAGGGGTCTTGGGTGAGGGATTTCGCGTGAGGGCGGAATCAAGTTCTAGTAGCACAGTAGGCTTCGTTCTCGGCTTACACTCGGTAATCGCGGATTCGATTTCCCGGCGGGACAGAATTGGTTGGTCACGTTTCCTTTCACCTAATGCCTCTGTTCACTTACCAGTACATACTTACCCGAGGGTTCAGCAAATGTGGGTTTGCATCCTGTGGAAAGTCTTTAGCTCGATCATGGCGGGGGTGGGGGGTGGGGGTGGGGTAGGGGGAGACCTTGATATATGCTGGCAAGTTTCCCTCTCTCTCTTCCCTCTCCCTCTTCCCTCTCTCTCTTCCCTCTCCCTCTTCCCTCTCCCTCTTCCCTCTCCCTCTTCCCTCTCTCTCTTCCCTCTCTCTCTCTTCCCTCTCTCTCTTCCCTCTCTCTCTTCCCTCTCTCTCTTCCCTCTCCCTCTTCCCTCTCCCTCTTCCCTCTCCCTCTTCCCTCTCTCTCTTCCCTCTCCCTCTTCCCTCTCTCTCTTCCCTCTCTCTCTTCCCTCTCTCTCTTCCCTCTCTCTCTTCCCTCTCCCTCTTCCCTCTCTCTCTCTCTTCCCTCTCTCTCTTCCCTCTCCTCTCTTCCCTCTCCCTCTCCCTCTTCTCCCTCTTCCCTCTCTCTCTTTCCCTCTCCCTCTTCCCTCTCTCTCTTCCCTCTCTCTCTTCCCTCTCTCTCTTCCCTCTCTCTCTTCCCTCTCCCTCTTCCCTCTCTCTCTTCCCTCTCCCTCTTCCCTCTCCCTCTTCCCTCTCCCTCTTCCCTCTCCTCTCCCTCTCCCTCTCCCCTCTCTCCCTCTCCCTCTTCCCTCTCTCTCTCTTCCCTCTCTGCTCTCTCCTTCTCTCTCTCTTCCCTCTCCCTCTTCCCTCTCTCTCTTCCCTCTCCCTCTCCCTCTCTCTCTCCTTCTCTCTTCCCTCTCCCTCTTCCCTCTCCCTCTTCCCCCTTCCGCCGTGTTGTTTCGTCATCAACACCTGTCCTCACACCTTTAAACATTTACCAAGTCCTTCTTTCCACCCCCTTTGCCTTAAGCTTTCACCATGTAACAACCATAACAACTGAAGCAGCTCTCCCTAACCAGAAGCGACTGAGGCTTGGTGACCCTCCTGACCTCTGCAGGCCAATACAACTGCTCTTTTTTCCCCACAAATTTCCCAATAGTTAAAGAGTGTCATATCTGTGGAAGAGAAGCAGAGGCGCCACTATTGCACTACTTACTGGAATGTGAAGCTACTGAAGCCCTGCGCATCAAACTCAACATTAATCCAACGACAGCAGCTGCATTAGATGCACATTCCACAGCGACTACAATGATTGGAAAAGCCGTTAAAGAATGGAACTCACTACCCGCCAAACACACACCGAAACTACGACGTTGCTACAACGTTCCAACAAGTTTTAACGCCTCCTAACCAGTTATAACAACCAATATAGCAAGTTGTAACAACGTTCTAATACGTCATAAACACGTTAAGCCAAGATGTAACAACTATATTACAAGTTGTAACAAGCAGAAAATAGAGACAGTTTCGGTTTGTGTTTCCAGGGTAGTGAATATTCTGCACCTTCATCCGCCACCAAGATAATATTATTAACACAAGACTAAAACAAAACAGAAAAAGAAATATAAAAAAGGAGGAACCCCAACCTCCATTTAAAACTTTGACCCAAATATCAGAGTAACAAAGTTATCGCGAATAACCGAACTCAATTACGGGCTCACCATAGCCGGTGCTACATGGACACTTCGTTCTGAGTAACTAAATCTAAAATAACAAAAACTTCCCACTAAAGTACATGAATTATGATGATGTAGCCGACAGCGTCAGAGTGTGAGGACAGGCTGTGTCCTCAGCCACCATCTCTACACCTTTTCCTTCAAAGCTAGAAGCACTAGACGGAGCTTCTAGATCTTTCTGGAAAACCTCTTGATACCCCAGATAGCGCCAGTAGAGAGTGAAAAATTAGGCAGCATTCAGCATTCCTATTTTCCCTTGTTTATTCAATCCACGTTCTTCACCTCTTTATTCGTGCCCCTCTCCAACTTCCTTTATCACCCTTATTCCCTTATTCACTCGTTAATCACTCCACCTCATCCCCTCCAATTCACTCCCTCCTCAACCCTTATTCATCCTCTCTCCACCTCGTCTTCAATCACCACAATCTTCACAATCATCACAATCTTCACAATCATTACAATCTTCACAATATTTATGTAAAATAAATCTTTAAAATTTGCACCATTCGTCTACATCTTCCACGATCAACCCTCTCCCCTTTTTAATATTATACATCTGTCCATCCACTCTCCTCTGTTCATCCAATCCCTTCTATCCTTCCAATCCCCGTCTCCAATTTTATCCCTCTGGTTTTCTATTTCCTCGCCAAAGTAGGAAATCTTGGTTATCAGGGATATGTTTGCGGCGCCAGAAATACCAGGGGCGAGCGGCCGGCCCACGCTGCGAGGAGAGGTGGGCGAGGATAGAGGTCCAGGTGAGCACGACGCTCCGAGCCGCTGCTCAATGTTTCAGAGGCAGTTTTGGCGTTGGCGGCACTCTGGAGCAGCCAGAGGCAGCCAGCGCTCAGCGGAATAATTCACAGGTTAATCAGGGTCAGTGGCATTATGCCAGGATCATCGACCTTGGCTAGTGGCATCATTGGCCTGTGTCAGTGGCAGTATGCCAGCATCATCAGCCTGCGTCAGTGGCAGTATGCCAGCTTCATCAGCCTGCGTCAGTGGCAGTATGCCAGCTTCATCAGCCTGTGTCAGTGGCAGTATGCCAGCTTCATCAGCCTGTGTCAGTGGCAGTATGCCAGCTTCATCAGCCTGTGTCAGTGGCAGTATGCCAGCTTCATCAGCCTGTGTCAGTGGCAGTATGCCAGCATCATCAGCCTGCGTCAGTGGCAGTATGCCAGCATCATCAGCCTGCATCAGTGGCATTATGCCAGCTTCGGAGGAAATATGGAACCAGAAGAGCTAGACGTGATGAAGCCACTGGTTCTCACGAGAGCTAACCATCGACACTACAAGAAACAGTTTCGGGGGAACTATCTGAAATTTGGAAAGTGGTTAATGAGGACGCCGGGAGCCACTGAATTACACACCGGTGTCACTAACAAGTATCCCGCATTACGTATTAGAGAGACTGATTAGAAGGAACCTCTTAAAACATTCAGAACCTGAATTTTGTCTCTTAAAAAAAACATTAAAAAGAGTACTGAAGACGGGAAGGGAGATTGTGCTTCTGTAGTTTCCCCAGAGCAGAGGAGCGTCACTTCCTGCCTCAGGACACTGTGAAGTATATCCTTATATACCGACTGCGAAACACGAGGCGCCAATCGATAGTCGCAGAGGCTGGTAATTATTGTAGGTTACAGAAAGGTGAACCTTGTCAGAAAACGTCACAGAAAATTGTTCCGCTCTGCTGATAGTGACGAGGCCAGTGCCAGCCAGGCAACCTTGCTTTCACGTGTTGGTCTGTATATAAAATTATATAATCCATGCCGTACAATCAGGCAAGCGAGCTCCTTACAAGTTCATTATGTCGCATACTTGGTACTCTGAGTGCACTGAGGTACTTGGACCTCGGTACATTCGCTGAATGGGCCCCTGACTGAGAAAAGTGAAACACGTAGGTCCCCCCCCCCTGTCCGAGAATAGCGAACATTGCGGGACCCTTCACTCAGCATAGTCAACCCAAGGCTCTCTGCTGAGGATATCAACAAACTAAGACAAATACTCAGCACCAATCAACCAGGAAAGAAAAGAATAGTTTTACTATATTTCTAGTTTTCCAGAAAGCTTCTGACACAGTGCCCCACATGAGACTCCATTTCAAACACGAAGAATGTGCTGGAGTAACTAGAGGAGTTGAACTGACGAGGGAGTACCTGTCAGACAGGAGACAAAGAGTCATAGTGAGGCACCGCAAGGATCAGTAATATGACCATATGACAAAAATCTGGCCGAAGATATGAACTCCTCCATGCCAGTGGTCCTGGACGATACAAAATTAGGACAGATGAGGCCTAAAACATGTTTTAGGTCAACCGGCACAAGCAACATGTTATACAACGACCGGGACGAACCATCATGGTACAGGGCGACCGGGACGAACCATGATGGTACAGGGCGACCGGGACGAACCATGATGGTACAGGGCGACCGGGACGAACCATCATGGTACAGGGCGACCGGGACGAACCATGATGGTACAGGGCGACCGGGACGAACCATCATGGTACAGGGCGACCGGGACGAACCATCATGGTACAGGGCGACCGGGACGAACCTCAAAGCCTCAAAGATATGTAACTGATAAAGATTAAGCCACCTAAGAGGTGGCACGGGCATGAATAGTCCGTAAGGAAAGATATATATAATCGACTTGAGCTGAAGTATACATTGGGATAGGTGAAGGGATAGGGATAACTTGGAGACCACAAGGCCACCATAGGAACATGGATCTCTGACTAAGATAAGGAATAAGATTTACAACAGTCATGCCAAACTGTCACCAGATGCGCCCCGTCATCTGAGCCACACCACCAGCAGCCTTTCCAAAGATGGAACATTCCAGAAATCATAACAAGGAAGTATTTAAGGAACTAACTGTACACGTCTTGTATGAAACCTCTTCTGGCGTATGTATCCTCAACTGAGCCTTCATTAAAAAAAATGGAAATAGAGCTGAACAATTTGCTACTAGAGGGAGCCGGTCGGCCGAACGGACAGCACACTGGACTTGTGATCCTGTGGTCCCGGGTTCAATCCCGGGCGCCGGCGAGAAACGATGGGCAGAGTTTCTTTCACCCTATGCCTCTGTTACCTAGCAGTAAAATAGGTACCTGGGTGTTAGTCAGCTGTCACGGGCTGCTTCCTGGGGGTGGAGGCCTGGTCGAGGACCGGGCCGCGGGGACACTAAAGCCCCGAAATCATCTCAAGATAACCTCAAGATAGACTGGTTCCAGAACAGAGAGGATTGAAATAAGAGGAAAGCCTAAGGGTCTGGATCTTACTACATTATATAAAAACGGGAAATGGAGACATGACTGAGATATATCAGATATTAGTGGATACAGACAAAATACGAAGGATGAGAAGCTTAAAATGCGCAATACCAGAACGAGAGGCCGCGAATAAAATTTAAAA